TAAGTACGCTTAGGGTATTGCGTAAGCTGGAAGACAAACCTATCGATGCCGCGGCACACTAGTAGCATATAGAATGAGGAACCAAGGTTAAAACCAAAAAACTTTAGCAGGCCTTGCTACCATTCAAGAGAATGTAAAAATCAGCATGGTAGGTAAGCAAAAACAGTAAGCTTACTGGAAGGTAAAGCTTTGACCACCTATTGCAGCAAGGATTTTGTTAAATGCAGCCATTTGTTTATGCATTCGATTCAAATGTGCCCCCTTGATGGGTGTATCAAAGGCACGCTCTTCAGTCTTCAAAATGCTGTTCGGGAGGACATGCGTTCCAACAAAGTCCACGCTTACGCCCGCCTTTTGCAAATTCCTGATCACTTCATTTATTTCTTTGCAGTCTAGTTCACCTTCAAGGTTACTCAAAACAATCATACGCTTGTTTACTCCGCCTTTTTGCGTTCTAACGAAATAGAAAAAAAAAACAAGGATAGCGTACTTGGCCACTTTCATCAAGTGGTCCACTCCAACGAATGTGGCATCGATCACTAAAGAAAAGTGTGAATCAAGTCAAGAAGTATTCATACAGTTTCCATTCGTAGTGCTGCTAGAAAAGCCCGTATCAAGGGCTTCAAGCAAATCCCAGTCATAGGGCTTGAGTGGTCGGAAAAGAGAAATATTTGCGAAATTCCCATTCGAATCGGTCAGCTCGTTGTCAGTGGTCTCAGTGCCAGCCAGTACAAGTGCAAACTGCTCTTTCGACTGGGTAAAAAGCTATATGAAAAGCGTGAGGGTTTGCAGGGAGAAAACGAACTCTCTGTTGAGCCATCAGAGTGAGACATCGAGCTGCCTCTATGAGAGGCAAACCGTTCATGTGCGCGCCCACATCCAAAATGGCACAAACTGCCGACGCCTAGCAGAGAAGCAGAAGATATTCATAAAACCAAATACTCGAAACGGGTGTTTGTTCAGAGAAAACACTTTAGCTTATACGCCAACGGAACAGATGTCCTAGTTTCTTGTGTGATTAACAACAGGTTACACCTTCATGAAAAAGTAGATACTTATCCGCCAAAATCACCTCCAACATAACTCGGACATAATAAAAAAGTACCGGAATTCCCTCGTATGGTATTGTTCCAAAAAGCTACCGCGGAATATATGCAAAATTATAAGGTTCTAAAATCAAAGATGTACCAAAGTACTTGAAGATCCCCACATGACGAAAACTTCCCACACACACTCTAGTAAAGGTCCATTCCTAAATTACTCTTATAACGTATTATTAAAATAACTGTAAAAATAAAGTCAATGAACCACCAAACCAGCTTAGCTGTTCCAATGGACACACCATAAGCTAACAAACGTGTGGGGAGCCAAGGTCATCAACCACCCTTGAGCATGAGAAATTTAGCCTAAGGTTTGCTAAGATTTCATTACACTTGTAAAGACATGATGGTGAAATAGCATAGCTACGTAATGTAAATTTTAGTAGTGAGGCCATCTACTTACCTCTCTGGGAATAAAACATGTTTTTTACTCTACCCACCAGGTTATCTCTTAATTATGAATTTGAGAATTAAAAATGGAATTTATTTAAGACTCGCAGTACTTAATAATTGATTAGGTCTGTAGTATTCTTCACACATGCTGGTTATGTGAGGCAACCATTCTCTCAAATAACGATAGTTTAGCTCAGGTCTGTTAGCAATATTGGGTCCACTTCTCTTTCATTTAGCATCATTCATTACCCCTTCTTTCTGCAAAGTCGCATTTTTGATCTTTTTTTTGCACTTATAATTTTATCTGTCCCCACCTTGAGTTTGCACGTGTCGATCAATAGAAGCACGTGAAAATCAGACCACTAAGAAAGCGGTCATGGAGGGTGTAGTAAGCACGTCATCAGGGCAGGGACAGATTTCACCATCGAATAATGTCTGCGAGGTCCAACAGATCGATGCAGAAGGCAGAATGCGTGCAGTGCTAACACGAATGCGCTCGGGGATACCCGAAGCCAATAGGTCTGACATTGCTTTTGAAGAAGAGGCATTTATTTCCCTCTATAAACGTTTTCTAGACAAAAAATTAGCATTTCTCTTGACTGGACCGATATTGAACAGAGTGAGAAATCATATGTAAGAAGTTGGTTCCTGTACCGTCTCTATGACTTCCAACTTATGCTTGGCGATTATGCAGATAATTGAGTAACCCGTGAAAGAAATCATTTGTAATGGAATAGCATACTTTAGGGTGTTTTTATTAATAACATCTTTAAAATTACAATGTCGAAGTTACTGGGCACCAAAATTTGAATTTTTAATTTGACAGCTCTGGTATCCTGTAAATTATACCATAAACATGAACCATTTAACTGCCATAAAGGCTGTTTGCCTGGAAAATCACCATAATCAACACGTTTTTGAGTAGCCATGTTTATATATGGGATTTGAACGCAAGCCAAACTGGAAATGAATGTTTTGCATTTCCAATAAGGTGTAAAGTGGTAATTTTTCCACTTAGTTTAAAAACTACGAGGACATCGTCATACCAAAAGAAGCAGACATTGTGGATGCTCTCTCTCACTTGGTAGTCATTAAGCTGGGTGGGGGACTCGGGACAAGCATGGACTGTTGTGGACCCAAATCGCTAATTCCTGTGAAGGAGGAGCGAACATTTTTGGACTTGACATTGCAACAACTTGAGGTACGTCATTTGGTCATCCTTTCAGAAAGATTTGATTCACGTTCTTCCGTCTTGGGAAAAGTCGTTCGTTATTTTTAGAATGTTGGAGTCTTGCCGCTAAGCCAGTAAATGTGGCGTCCACTATTTGTCATTGTGCTGTGTAAAAGTAATGATTTCGGAATTTATTAAAAGCCATCCTTACTATGGGATCGCAAATTGGCGAAGTGTTGGATCAGATCGCTGGCAAAACCTAGAACGGGTGTTTTAACAAATTTAACCAAAAAATGTTTCTTCAGAGGCACTAAGGTTTTTAAACAATATTCAACTTCTGATTTACTCCGTAACTTGGGGACTTCAAAAAAAAACATGACTAAATATATTTTCAGAATTGTTTTTGAACTCCTGGAAGGCAATGTCATAGCTGCTTAAGGTTTCGAAATCGTTTATTAATGTGGATGACAAACAATTCCTATCACGTTTAATCTAATCTAGATCTCCATTATTCCTTCAGGCCCTAAACACAAATTATAATTTGGATATGCCCTTAGTATTGATGAACTCATCCAACACACAACAAGAAACAGATGCCTATCTTAAAAAAAATGCCGAAAACGAGTACAAAGATTTACACATTCCAGCAGAACAGGCAAGTTGACTGTCATTGTCTCAACAATGACCCTGCTTCTCATCACGTATTTCGTTCTCAGGAGTCTAAGACCATAGATCCATAATGCCCTTCTATTCTATTGGTATGTAGGTCGAAAATGGTCTCGGAAAATGACTTAAACGCATGCTGTGGCGATTGGGCAATAATGCTAATTTCAGTTAAGGTGTTCAAATGCATGGTTCATATTTCGGTACTTCCCTCAGTTGGTGTTATTACGTCAAAGGAGATTGTAATAGCCACTAACCCATATCCAATTCTAGTAGATCCAGTACGTATAAGTTTGAAGCAAGGGAACTACCTACAAAGCACCAGTTGTATGTTCATTTTGTCGTAGCAATAACTTGTAGCATGTCATCTGTGTTCGATGAAATTGCGATTCTTTTGCTTCTCGGCGCTAGGTTCCCGAGGCTGAGTGCTGATACAGGTCTGCCGCTGGCTGAGTCCATGCAACTGGAACCAAAAAACTACTATGCCTGGTATCCTCCAGGTCATGGGGATGTCTACCGATCCTTTCAAGAGTCCGGTCTATTGGACAAGTTCCACAATGAGGGCAAGACCTGGCTGTTCATATCCAATATCGACAACCTCGGTGCTTCACCGGATCCGAGTAAGCATAAGCATCATCACAATAATCACTACCACCACATCCTCCTCCTTACTCTGACATTTAGATACGAGTACAATTTTTCCTATTTATACTTTTCCTACATGAGTCTCCTCTTCCTCCAACGTGGACTCGGTACACTAATAAACGGCTGGTTGTTACAATTTCAGTAATGTTTGGAACCATTATTATGCAATGTTAGATGGGTCTCTTGTATTGCAGCTATCCTTTGTTGGTTGGAAGAACAGCAGTTTGAATTCGTCATGGAAGTATCCACGAAAACAGTGGTAGACCGTAAAGGAGGAACGCAGGTTTACTATAAAGGTGGACTGCGTCTGCTTGAGGTTGCTCAGGTAGGAATAAATAATGTCCCTTGATCTGTGCTATGGTCCAGTTGGTAGCATTTGTGACGACAACTACGAATTGCTTTTATGATCTAAAATTACACTGTAAATTTGGAGCCTTCTTAAAAACAAAACGCCATAACTAGTGAACACACCGGAGCCGCATGAAGCTTATTAAAATAATTATTTATTGTCCTCATATCAAGGTGCCAAGCGAGCACACGGCGGACTTTCTCAATGCCAAAAAATTCAACATTTTCAATACCAACAACCTCTGGATCAATCTGAGGGCTCTCTACAGTCATATTCATATTCATACTCTCTTATTGTGAGTAGAAAAACACTAAAGGATGGAACGCGAGTAATTCAACTGGAAGAGGCGGCTGGGGCAGCAATTAAAAGCTTTAACAAATCAATGGGTAAGCACAGTACTTTGATTTTAAGGAGTGGGAATCAAGTTTGCTTTTTGCCTTGCGCTGAGGAGTTTTGCTGATCCTTTCAAGGGCTGAAGGTTCCACGTACTCGTTTCCTGCCGGTCAAAATGACATCAGATTTTCTGCTTTTGAGATCAAATCTGTTCACCTTGGTGTTTGGCAGTCTTGTTATATCTCCACGGCGCCTCTCATCGTCATTGCCCATTGTTGACCTAGACCACCACTTCCAGAGCGTCCAGGACCTCCAACTGCGAATACCCTTTGTTCCCAGTATGGTTAACCTCTCTCACCTTACCCTCTCTGGTGATGTCCGCTTTGGTCCAAATGTTGTGCTCAAGGCGAGTGACCTTCCCCCCATTTTGTCCCTAAAAAACACTTATACTTCCATTTTTTGCAGGATTTGTAATTTTATCTAAGCCCTGGTTAATGGTACAAAAAATTTGCGATAATGAAGTGCGTCATAAAATATTACGCGATTCATTTCCGTAATTTATCTTCGAGAGTATTCTAATTCACTCACACTTATAAGTGTCATGCTACTTCAGCGTCATCAAAGTATTCACTTGTCACCGGATCTTACAAAACAAATTAGTGACAATCATTCGCTACTTACCAATCCAAATCAAGCTAGGTTTCAAAATGTTGGGACGTTTCAGAAGCTCTATGAACCGCAAAGATTAATTTTTCTCCTGTGTGAATGATATGCAGTCGGAGTAAGGGTATGGACACACTTCACCGGCTAACACTTTATTGGCATAATGTTGGTTTTCATTTTAGGGCACGGTGAAAATAATTGCTAAAGACAAAGAACAACTCGACATTCCAGGCGGATCCGTTCTTGAAAATAAGGTGGTGACTGGAAGCCTGCGTGTGACGAATCAGTGAACATGCGGCTACATAAGAGGATGCACCGACTCCACCAACATTTCATCACTCAGAGATTTATTTATTCGTTTCTTTTTTTTCCGCTGATATTGTTTAATTGTTACTCGGTATTGATTTAATTAATTTAAGTAATCATTATTTATTAGTAAGAAATATTCTCTTCGTTTACAAATGTATGAAAGAGAGCTGGGGCGATATTTAGGAGAAAAGTTTTGCCCCTGGCAAGAACAGCTTGTGGTGGTTGCCACTTCAAACATAGTTCTGGGCTTGAGTCCCTCATTTCTTTGCAGCTTCATTGCAAAATAGTACCCCGTATGGCCTAGTTGATATATTCTATGCAAAGATCATACGTTATACAACTTTGGGAGGTTAATGCAACTGGAATTCTCAGTCGTTGTGGTCAAAATCTGGCAGATGCACATTTTCTCTAATTCCACATCAAAAGCTCATTTTTGTAACTGAATAGCGCCAAGTGACTATCCTTCTGTTGAGTTCAAGGGAGTGACGATTCATTGAATCACTTCCTTGAGATATTGGGAAATTAAACCATACTTTGTTGAATTAAAACGAATAGGAAGGTTTAAGAGTAACCACGTTAATTTGCAAATGTAACTACTAGTTACAAAACCATGTTTAGTAAATTCATACGTGATATGGGATTCGTTTCACTGTTCAGCTCAAATTTGTCTTCTTTGAAGACGCAAGAAGGCACAATACTCGAGTAGAGTGTGTTTTGTCGACGCATACTAGGGCTTGAGGGCTACTGACATGGCCTAAGGTCAGATGCACGGCGGAGGTACAATAGCGGAGCCCCTAAGTAATCTTTTACCAAAACCGAGAGTTAAATAACCAGTTAACAAAACACAATTGAAACATCCTCTGGCCAATGATTCACTAAATAGCATTGACATGCAATACATAGTGTGATGCGTTTAAATGGGATAAAGTGGTCCACTGTCAACGCCTGCGTGCTTTTGCTACTTTCTTTGCCACTAGGCAGTAGAATAGAAAGACCTGTGCTCCTAGTTCTCATTCCTACCATGGCAATTTGCTGCTAAGGGCACAAATAAGGAGAGAGTGTAGCTTCTGAAGCGTGATTTTGACCGCGGCGCTGGCGTCGCACAGCTTGTGGCTCCGAGACAGTTGGAGACAACGACGCCGCCAGATGTTGAGCGGCGGCGATGACAATGATGAAGGGGTGTTGCGTGCGCTGACTTGTACATCTGCCGCTGGGGCCTGTAATCGAGTGCTCGTAAAACATTTCTTGTTGCGCTGCCTTGAGCTACGCTGCAATGGCCGGATCCACTGTGACCCCGATGCGAGGCACTAATTGCGTTCTCGCCTTCCTCCTCTTCGTTGTCTCACCTCTACGAGTGCGCCTAATTAACCTGTCCACCATTCGCACTGTCCAGGTGTTTTGTTCGAGCAGTAGCACCTGTAACACATGTGTTTGTTTGGTAGGCCATGGGCCTCTAATTTTCCATCCTATTAGCTTAAAGACTAGAGTTGGTAATGGGGAATAAAGGGGTGAACGATATATACAATAATCAAAACCTAACCGGACCAAGTCCGAACCCTCCTTCATAACTTTGCTTACAGTGGAATAAATCTAAATAATTTTATTAGGAAAATCTTTCAATGCAATTCCTAACTTCTGGGTTCTAGTTTGGCAGTCAAATTCTGGTTAAAAAAGTTTAATTTTTAACTATTTATTCCATAATTAATGAAATATTGTAATGCATTAGTTGTAAAGCGCGTCTCCCTTAGTAGAGTTACTAGTACATGACAAAATGCCCTATTCCAAGAAACTGTAAGCTCATTTGTGCTCTTTCTCAGTAGTATTATCAAACAATTTGTGATCATTTATGCTGAAAGTAGTGTCAACCTAAGGATGTATATTGAAATTAACAGTAGATCTTAGAACCTAGTTGTAATATCAGTCCTTCATTTACCCACTAGAGTTTGGAATGGTTTTAAGTAAGGGTATGAGGTAGGGTTGTCACCAATGCCAATATATCGTCCCGAGACTTTCCTGAAGACGATTAAAGACCTAATTCTAAAGGAGAATATGTACTGTCGTCGAACAGAGGAGTTGAGGGGCTACTGGTATGACTCAGAGGCCATGCCACCTAGTAGAAGTATAAAAGCAGAGCTTTACGTATCTTTAAAATTAGAACGAAGAGTTGCACAAACAGCAAAAGAATTGCATGTCACCTATCGTCTTTTAAGTGTCGTCCCTGGCCCTCCCCTCGGTCAACCTCGCACGTTGACCATCACAACGTAGTCGGGGTTGTAAGAAAATCAACCACCAATCAGCAGCATCAGCCGTCGTATTCAAGTGCAATGAAGCAGTTCTGCTACCGCAACTTCACTGATCTCACTTGGCAGTTTCACTGGAAACCATGTTGGAGAATGGACTAATGTGATAGCCATCGAGCATGTCCATCACCAATCGTAAAAACACTAACCTAAAAGCCACTTTGTTCCCACTTCCGAGCTGCCCAGCCCCATCCGAGTTCTCTCCAGTTTCATAATGGTACCACAGATAGCTTTTTAAGGAACTATTCCTTATGGTCCAAGGGTAAAGTCGCTTCAAATGTTAACAGGATTTTTGTAGAACACTGGCCTGGGTAGTTGTCAAAGGTTAGCGTCATTTTTTAACCCTTCTGTTAGAGACTGTAATGGATTTTCCCATCTTCATCACATTATGGTTTAGCCTTTAGTATTACAAAACTGGGTATTTGTCCTTCAGAATAGGATTTGCATTCTATTGCCAACAATTCAGCGCCTCCAGACTTCCCTAAAGACCAAAGAAGGCGTATGGCTAGGACAGAACATGCATTATTCACGCACAGAAGATCTTGGGAGGCTATTGGAATGGACCGAAGGCCATGCCGCTCAGCGAAACTACAATGGCGAAACCCTATGTGTCAGCAAAACTATAAAGAAGAGTTATACAAATAGTCAGAGCAATACACCAACTCAAATGCAACTCGTATGCGGTGTCAAAACCTGACGCCTCCGACTCAATTTTACGGTTCTCAAAATCACTTCTGTCGTTCGGTAATCCGCGTACAGGTGCTTCTTTGACATTGGTTATCACTCTAGTTCAAAATATGCCCTAAATGTTCAGCGTTTAGTTATATCCGAATAAGAAGATATGAATAGAGCCTTAAAAATTAATTAAAGTAGGCATCATTTTTAAGCTTTGTGTTATTCCTAAATTTCTTTGCCACATGTATCCATTTGTAGAACGGCATCAAAGATTTTTAAAAGAAGCACTTAAGTTTATCATTGCTGTTACTTTTGCTATATTTATCGTCTCAAAGAGTAATTTGGCAAAGAGGTTTTAATCAGGGCGTAGGAAAAATTAAGAGTCCATTTTGTTGAATTTCGAGGCATC